TGACACATAGATTCTACACACAAAAAACATCTGTAGATTACCTCAGCAAAAACAAACATAAAACCTCTGAGCAAACRTAAAACCAGAAGAGGAACTGAAAACACAATTTATTGGCATCTAGACAGCAGTCCACATCTTTAGGTATATCATACTACAAGAYCAGATTTTCCTTCTGAAAGCCCTTTATTACAAAAAATAAAGTTAGGGACTGTCTTTCTGATGACTGAATCAGAACCAGATGCAAACTTAAAGTTAGGTGAAATCCCATGACAAAAATTTTATGCTTCTGTGGATCTCTGAGACCAAAGTAGACCTTCCTTAACATRAAGGCCAGTAGAATCTATTTTAGGATTTTTTTTCTTCCTAAGAACAATTAAATAATACAAAAAATAAGGGACAAGAGAAGTCTCTTTATGTAGAAACACAAGTAACTTACTGGATTGTCCACATTTCATACTGTGAATTCTCCTGTTCCGAGACAAGGGCATTGTTGTAGGTGAGGTGTTATAAACTGCCATTCCAGACTCCTTTCAGAAAGAACAGAGAAATCAGTAGCTATAACCAAGATACTTATAAATCTCTTCAATCTGTCAGTAATTCTATCATTTTAGTAAGCCCATTGTTTTATACTGGCTTACTACAAGGTTACAAAAAAAAAACATTCTAAAGTAAAAAGCATACTCCACTCAAAACTTGGATATATTTTGTTTTATTCTTTTCACTTGCTCCTAAACGTATTTCTTACTGATTTCTGCTCAGTAGGCTAGTCCAGAAAGAAACAAAAATGTATTACTCTGTCTTGAATTCTTGGTGGAAGAACCTAAATCCATGAGTATTTGCTATTATTGGTGGCTGGTTTGGTTACCTGTCTGCAGTTATGTAACATTTTTTCTTTGCTGTGCTTTTCCCAGAAAGAGCAGGGAGAAAGCAGAAAGAAAAGTGACTCCCTCTGAGGAGCCACAAACAAGGACTACAAAGCAATCTTTCCTTTTCCCACCCTCAAACAAGGGAGTGGGAACCACACACCCTAATTACATTTCAGCAACGTGCCATGAGTGACACAGTCAAGTTGCCAAGATAAACCACATCCAAAAACCTGAGCGCTGAGCTTTAGTGACCTGATACCGCCAGCTTGTTTGCATCTACTGAGAGGCAAAAAGGCTCCCACAAAGTGATTGCTGCTAATGAGCCAGAGCAGAGCTCAGCTTTTCCTTAAGTAAGGATGCTTTGTCCAACATGCAACTTCTCGAACAAGCTGAAGCTCTGGACACAGTCATAAAATCTTCTCTTGCAGCTTAAACACCAAGCTTTCATTCAGGATTGACACCCCTTGTGGCTGGGATAAAAYACACATTCGAGGGCAAGTCCTGATGCATCACAAGGGTAGAAGAGCCACCAGAAATACTCATAATGTCACAGCAATATACAGATCCATCGAGGCAAGATATGAGAAGCAAACTATCCTGCTGACAAGCCGAATACGCAGCCCTCTGTCCCGCGCCGCCAGCCCCCTCAGAGGGTCGCCCGGGGCGGCAGCTGTGGGAAGCCTGGCACCACCGGAGGTCATCAGCCTCCTGAGCCCCAATGGCAGTGTGGTGGATGCCCTCCTCCCAGCGTCTCCCCGGCTGGAAGCTGCCCATCCCGGTGGCTCTGTTTCTCCAGGGCGGTGCCCGCCCGCCGCCCCACCTGAGCCCGGCCCGCGCCCTCACCCTCACCCTCACCTGCACGGCCGCGGCCAGGCCGCCCCTGCTCCGTGCTCCCGTGGTGCCGCCTGGGCTGAGAGAGGAGAAAAGAGCAGCGTTAGCTGGGCAGGGGCAGCGCACACAGCCRCACATCCCCGGGGAAGGGGCCCGCTGTGCCCCGGCCGGCCCCTACCTGGCGAGCAGCAGGTCCCCATCGGCGGCGAGCTGCGCCCGGGCACGCCATGGCGACAGGGCTGGAAGGCAAAGGTGGCAGGTCAGCGATGGCYGCGGCTGCCCTGTCCGCCCTCCCGCACCCACCCACGCCGTTCCCCGGCCGGCGGGACACTCACCCGAGGGCAGCCAGGCGCACAGCAGCGCCCCGAGGAGGAGCCGGGTCTCCATGCCGGCGGCAGCAGCTTCCCGCGGAGCTCCGGCCGCTACCTGCACTCCGGGCTCATCCCGCCCCCGMGGCCGCCCCGCCCGGGGGGTTTATCCGCACCCACCGCCCGCCCCCGGCCCGGCCCTTCCCCGGCGCCCACCGGACACCGCCCCTCACCGGACAGCGGGGTCCGGGCGCTGCTCTGCCTTCGCCTCTCCTTGCCTGCCCGTGCCCGTGCCGGGCGCTGACCCGGCCGCCTCCACACGTTCGCTTCCACTTTTCCGCCCTTCGGGGCTTTGGGAGTCGCTCCGTGTGCCGGTGTCTCGGCGGCAGCAGCAGCCGGGACCGCCGCTCCGAGCACCCATTGCAAGACCAGYGGAGCCCGGGCTGCTACCCCAGCTCCTGGGCATGAGAATGGACCGAGCGCGGCCCGGAGCTGCCCACTCTGCCGGGAACGGGCAAATCTTGTCCGTGCTCAGCACGGAACATTGGCCCCACTGAAACAGGTGTCAGGACTTGAATAATGACAGGCATAAGACATACACTGGATGCAGTGTGCAGCGAACATGTATGGATGGTTTCCATAGTTCTAATAACAGTTTTTTTCTTTTTTAATATCAATTCACACTCATGATCTCTGCAGAGACTTTCCCATGTTTATTTCTCTTCTTTTTTCTTTCTTTTTTCACCACTTGTGGTTAAATTTGCTTCTTTCCACTAGATTTCTTCTCTTTTTTCTCCTCCTATCACTGTTACCTTTCCTCTGCTATTTTCCCTTTCCCATCTGCTACTCTCTCCCCATCATTCTTCGGGTTTGCATATCTTATGACAGAAGCTTTAGAAGCTGCCCACACCAGGTGAGAAACTGTCTCAGATWAAAAGGGGCCTTTTCTGACTGCTTTGGGAAGTCTGTTAACAGTAAGTCATTAAAAAGATCTCTCTTCTGCCTTTGTAATTTGTCCCCGTGGATTGTGTTTCTTGTGTTTCATTTCTAATGAAATGATGGAAAACTAGTGATGCTTTCACTGAGAATTCTGTTCCCTCATGTAAGTGTTGGAGGGAGACTGTGCATGAGAGAATATAACGTGAAAAATGAAAGATCTTTAGTAAGAAATAGAGAAAGAAATAAAAGTCTTGAACTTTGACACTGCCTTTTCCCAATAACTCAAAAAAAAAATCTAGAATTATGTGCTAGCTGCAGCCTGTAGCAGAGCCCATCTGCTCTGAATGCAGCATGTGCTTGGCTTTGGTGCAATTTCTCTGATCCAGGTTACATTAATGGAAGTAGAGAAAAAAAGATAAAAGCAACAAGAATCAGGTTATACAACATACACTTTAATGTATTTCTATGGCTGCTAAATGAGCTGCTCACTTTGTTCATTCTCCCTTAATGCCAGTAGAAGCAAACGAGAATTGAAGCTAATTTAGAGCCAATTTAGATGCAATTGTTCTTCCTAGGAAATATTTCATTGCCTAAAAATACTAAACAGTCATAATTTTAACACCTTTTAGTATGGTGCTTTTGAAACAAAGAAAATTTCAAAACCATCTCAGAAATTCACTGWTTATCAAGCTTCCAGTTTTGGAGTATGAGTAGCTTTGTGGATGTGTTTGCTTTGTATTTATGCAAGGAATTCATTCGACAGTAGACTAACGGCCCTCCAAGTTTGTCATCCTTTCCATGCTGTGTCCTTCACATGATGATTCAGAGCAGTTTTCACATCAACAAGTGAAGTTAATTTCACAATTGTCTACTACTTGGAGGAGTTTCTGACYCCTGGGAAGTTCATCTGTATTATAAAATCCAGTTGCTTTCTTTCAAACATAAATAACTTTGAGCTTGTAAAAGATCTATTAATGTAAAGACTTCTGGAAACAATTCGTAGATGTCATAGATTCATAGTTGTCAACGATTGTTATAGTCTATATGTAAATTTAAAGGTGACATATATGATTTTTAATGTGTGCATTAATTTTTTGTGTCTCTATTTTTCTCTTTTCAATTTTGTTTTGCATATGCACGTAAGAAATTCTTTATCTGTGTGTTGGAGGAAATAGCTATTTTATATTGTGCAATACTGGAACTTAGTTAAAAGTGATTTATGTTAATAGTTACAATTTTAAAAGAAAATTGTTTTCTGAATACAATTGTATTTGTTTGTATGCAGGATTAAAATGCCTTCCTCTTTCATTCCTGACACCTGGTACATAAAGTTGAAATGTTCCAATATAGCAAAATCGTCTTCTGAAAGGAGTAAGGGCACTTTCTAAAGGAGCTGGTGTAACTTACAAAAGTTATCACTCAGAAATAATGGAATAGAAACCAAGAAGGATTTGGCCTGGGATTTTTTTTTTAATCACTGCTTTCTATGTATTCATAAAAGTTTCCATCTGTTGGAAAGAGTAGCAGGTAAGCTACCTGTGCTTAAGTAAGTCCTGCTCTCTCTGGAGTTGTGTGATTAAAGGTGATTCTGCTTGGAGGCTGAGACTAAGGTTAGCAGGTGTCCTCCACTCGGGACCCTCCTGATTGCAGAAATCTTTCATTTTGTACTAAAGTAGGGCAAGTGGGAGCAGAACAGCTCAAGACAAAACAGTATGAAAGAGATTAGTCKGAAATAGTTTCCTTTCCAGGCGCTCCGAGTTTGATTCTTCCGCAGTTTCTCACAGTAGCCATGTGAGAGGCTTTATTTGTAAGCAGTAACATTCTGCTGGTGGGAAAGGCCGGGGGCAGTCGCATTCAGCGATGGATGTGTGTTCATCTTCCTTCTCCTTTTCCTTTCTCCGCCGTTTGGGTGGCAGGGAGGGTCTCGGTGCCCGGCTGTCGGTGCCCGGAGCTGTCGGGGTGCTGAAGGCGGCGGCGGGCGCGCCTCCCACCGCCCCGGGGCGCGGCCTCTCCGCGCAGCCGCCCCGCGCAGCGCCGGCACCGCGCCGCAGCCCGCACCATGGAGCGCCGCGTCGCCCGCGAGTTCCGGCACAAGGTGAGGCAGCGGGGACGGCCCGGGCCGCCTCCCGGGCAGCAGCRGAGGCTGCGGGCAGCGCAGCCCCCCGGGCGGGCACGGCTCTGCCCCAGCGAGGCACGGAGAAGGAAGGGASAAGCCCGGGGACTTTGCACTGCCCTGGAAAGGCGCGGATGGCAGCCGCCTGGGAGGGGGTGGCTGTTAAAACCCTGCGAAACAGAGGGAGAGAAGAGGAACGTTTCCCAACCCATGAGCTTTTCCAGGGCTTGGCACAATTTCTTTTTGCCTGGTACCCCGCTGCACCCTGCGCCGCTCGGGGTAGGCGGCGGGGAAGGTGCTGAAGTCCAAGCGCTGGCGGTGCCCGCTCAGCCCTGCGAGCGCCCGGACGGGGCTCGGGCCGCTGCACTTCACCTTMACATTGCCGGCGCGATTGTGCGTGCGCACTCATGTGCGAGTGCACTCGATACRTGGGATGGTTCGGGCTGCCTGGCACCGGCGTTTTGTCATGTACCCAGTTAAATAAGTGCTCAGCAGAGCGCAAAATTGTATGAGCGAAGGAAGCTCAAAAAGCTCTAATTAAGGAAAGGAGGGGGGAAATAGTTTACGTGAGTAAAAAACGTTTTTGTGAAGCCATTTAGGACTCTCTTAAAGTTTCTTGTAGTGTTTTGCGGGGCTTTGTTTTTCGAAGGAGGTTTTGGTTGATTTGGTTTGGCTTTTTTTTTTTTTTTTTTTTTTTTTTGCTCAGCTAGGACACCCAGTTTCTGTAAAGTAATGTAATGTTTTACACAAGTATCTGTCACCTGGTAATAAACACATGAACTAAAGGATTTTTAGGATGAAACAGAGGCACTGCAAAAAACCCTATATGTCAAACTGTAGTTCAAAAACATTAAGAATATTCCTGGATATTCCAGAGTGATGGAAGATAGCCATCTAGGGCWTTATTTCTGCCTTGCTCACTGTTACTGTATAACTCCACAATGGGTTGTGCAACACACCTTTAAAGACTCTGGTTTCTAGGCGGATGGTTACTRTCTTGAACTTTAAACCTTCTCCCTTTCATTGCTGCTATAATTCATAAATCATTCAGGCYCCACCCCGATAACGTAAGCTGTGTTGTCAATGTTGCTGCCAACAGCTGGRATGAAGATGTGAGTGACAACTTTTTCTGAGTTAGAAGATACTCAAAGAGGTCTTTTCTTTAATTTTTTTTGTATAATCCTGCTTCTAGTGGCCTCTGTGGCATCCACAGTCCTAGATGCTTACTTTTCCTGTGACATACCAGTGAAGATGGTCAGCTGCAGGATCTAAATTTCCTGAGTTAATTGCCACTTCCTTTATTTTCTTTTTTCTTAGCATTTAAATCAGTTTCCCTGTCAACCAAACAGCAATGTAAAATATGTATTGTACACAAACACATTGACCAGTTCTTCCTTTCCTTCTATAGTTTTTCAAAATCTGTCTATCTTACATAGGACTTCATGCTGTTCTTTGAAACCTGACACATTTGCCTAGTGCTAAAATAATGCATTATTGTCATCTGAACTTTTCTCTATACCAAAAAGTGCTTTTTCTTGTCCACAGTTTCCCTTCCACTGAATAAACTTAGATAGACTTCTTGACAGACTTTTTTTTTTTTTTGAATTGTAAATGCAGATTTTGTGATGACTTCTTATTAATTTCTATGAAAGACAGTGCAATKTTCGTAGGGAGAAATAGGGCACAAGCAACTCCTTTGTACTCTAGGATTGTAAACTATGCAACTACCATTAAGACTCTTTGAGCTATCACAGAAGGGTTGAGGGTGGAAGGGACACTTRGAGGTCATCTGCCCCAACCCCCCATGCTCAGGGCCACCAAGAACAGATTGTCCAGATGGKTTTTTTTCTTTAATATTCTTGGTTTAAAAGGTGTGAAATCACCTGTCCTATGACTCTACAGTTATTTTCTTGGGAAATTGATACTGAAATACGTCTGTGATTCAAGTTACACCCTGTCACCACTGATATTTTTTTTGTTGTTTTTTTGGTTTGTTTTTTTTTTTGTTTTTTCCTAAAGATAGTGAGGGGGACAAGATATTTTAGAATTTATGAAATTAGAGTCAGCTTGTGGAAGCTGATGGTAAGCCCAGGTAATGTATATGTCTCCACAGCACTCCCAAGGTGGTAAAGCAGTAGGAAAATGGAAAGATATGCAGGTGGCCATGATACACTGATAATTGGTGAAATAGAAGGCAGCAGGGGGAGAGCACCCATTAGTGGGATGGCTCAGATAATTTACCCAGCTGTAGCATTCTGAATATATTAGAAGTCATTTGGGTGGGTTTTTGTCAAGGGATAAGGAAGCTGCTGGTGGAGGATGCGAAGTGCTGAAGTTGAACAGGAAGACTGAATGCTTTGTGAGAAGAAACAGCAGAATTTAAAGGTGGCCCTCCATTTTCTGAGATGTGGTGGGGAGGTATCCACCAGTGAGCGTATCAGGAGGAAAAGAAAGTGTTGTTTCTGTTTGCTTTGTCCTGATGATGGTGATGGTTTTGCTCTTTGCTGTGTAGGGTTGATGTGCTTAAACCTTTAATGTTCTTTGTGGGACACTGCTCATGTAGTATCTTAGCTAGCACTGGGGACCGAGTTCTGTGTACCAGAACCAAAACTGATTTGTATGTTGTATTTTACCTRTCAAGGAAGAGAAAAATGGATGCTGGAATTAATTTTACAGATATTGCCTTGCCTTRAGTCTGTGCACAGTACTGGTGAAGTTTTGATTGCAAACATTTTATTTTGTTTTCAGGCAGATTTTATCCTCTGTGTTTTGAAATTCTCTGTGAATAAATTGGTTTACTCACTGGTGTTACTGTAAAGCAGTCTTGACCTGCATGTAGCTTTTCAGCCTTTAGGTGTTTTGAAAATGACTTTTTCCAGAGGAGACATGTAACAGAAAACCACCTGTATGCAAAGTCCTGCCAGCTTTAGAGAGCCGAAAGGTACAAGTAATAGAAAACCACTGGTATGTGAAGGCTTGCTGGCTTCAGAGAGCCAAGTGGGACAAAAGAAATATGAAGCATGTATTTAGTTTAGAACATAATACAAACCATTGCAAACCTAGAAAGAAAGGGCCTTTCTTTAAGTATGCAAATTGCTTCTCGGTCTTCACGTCACAGTAATATTACCCTTTAGGTCAGATGTAAATTGTTTTCCTAGACATGGGGCTTGTCCAGATGTAAAACTAATGTGATGTGACCTCTCACTACTACTAAGATTAGTGGGGGTCTCACTATCACTGAATATAAATTGAACTCCTCATGTAAGAACTCGAGTTTGGTTTTCTTTTGCTTTAATTCACTGTAATTATCCACGAGCAGGCATAGTAATCTGACACTGGTTTAGGTAAAGGTACTATTGGTGGGGGAGGAAAGAATAACTAGCAAGTCTATCAGTTAAGAGCTGGAGCAAAGAGGAACAGAGGGGTAGCAGTTTGCATAATGCTATAAGTGAGCTCCTGAAATCGGTGGTTTGGACGACAAGACATAGATTATATCGGTGTTGTCGTTTTATCTGTGGCAGCATGTGCTACATTAACGAGTGGCCAAAAAGGTTTCTGAAGACATTTATTGAGGAGTACAGTGATTATCAGGTAAGACAAAYGTGATACTATCGTAACAGTACTACTGCTGAGGGGAGATCTACCATACAGAAAATATCAGTATTCACCACCTTGTTCAATTGTTGTAATAGTGATTTTAGAAAATCTTGTTGTAAGTGTGACATTGTGAGGTAATAGTCTGTAGAAAAAAAAAATGTTTCTCTTTAAAAAAGTCTTTTTCCTTGATGAAATCTTTGCTCTATGGCTTATGAATCTGTGAMAATCTCTTATGTTCAACATTTGTGGGCTATTAAATCAGACATTAAGGATAATGTCTTTGTGTTTTCAGGTCAATCTGTTAATCGACAATGAAGCAGAGAAGGATTACCTTTATGATGTGCTGCGGATGTACCACCAGTAAGATCTAGCTCTATAWATGTTTGTGTAGAACTTTGCTAATATTTTTAAATTTGAAGGGTTAATATATTCAAGATTCTGAAGATTTAGTATTCAAGATTCTTTGAAGTCTTTCTATATGCTACTAGAAAAGTAGTTTAAATGAGAGGTTTTTATCCTGTTTAATGAAAACTTGTGGTTTCGCAGCATAACCTGCAGGCGAAGAAGGAGCATGTCTGTAATTTCTGTAAAGTTACTTTGATTTTTATGACTTGGCAGTTTTGTAAAAGAACTTGGTGGATTCATATTTGGGGGTGGGTGGGGGGAAGCTCCTGCATGATAAAACTRTTCTTAGGAAACAGCAGGAGAGCATTAATAATGCTTAATAGTTCCARATAATGCTTATTTATTTGATGCAGAGGTTTTCATTTATATCACTTTTCAAAGATTTTTTTGCTAACTTTTTGGATAAAAATTTTGYAAGTGCTCTTCAGAAAGCTGGCAAAATTTAGTCATGGAATCTCTTYGGTATGTTTAATGACTCTGGGTTATTACAACACAGTGGTAAAAAATTGGTAAGGTGATAGGCCTATTACCAATCCTTTTGCTGAACTGATTTAAACCACAGTTGCCTTGGACTTTTATCACTGGAAATTGTATCAGTCTCCTATCCATTTTTTTGCAAATAAGATAATATATTTTCCACTAATTATAGACCAGTGGCTGTACTGGACATTGTTTCCATTCAGATTGTAATTAAAAGCATCTCAGCTGAGTGAAATGTAGACGTTTCCRTCTGATGTTTGTACCCAGCTATAGTTATGAGGGTATTAAGCTGCATATCTGATTCAGTTTCACTCAGGTCGGTCTAATTGCTTTTCCATTCATAAAGACTGTTGTTTGGAAACCAATTGATTCAGTAGATCTGAATTATTTAAAATCCTCTTGCAGTTACAAAATTAACAATTCATACAGCAACTGCTCTTCAATTTCCAAAATTGGGCAATGGCTCGGACAAAATTTTCAATTTCTCTGTGAACATATATTGATGATACATCACTTCCTGGCAATAWATTATGAAATATCCCAGGGCAAAAATATGTGCAGCTGCTGGTGGAATTAACACTTAATGTCTGCCTCACTGTGAATGGCATTTCCAGAAGTATTTGACCTCTAATCCCATATAGATATTCCTGGTCTGTATTTTTACTGCCCATGCCTCAGAAATATTGCATGCCAGGAAATGTAAATTGAAAGAAAGGGAACAGCAAATAATGCAAATTTAACTGGATATTGTATGGGAATAGCTCCACTTAACCTCATGTAGCTGTTCCTCCTCTCCTGAGCTGTACAACAAAGTATATTTTGTATTCCTATAACTGTCTCAGTGCTGAMTATTTCAAGGAGGCCACTCAGCATAGCTCTCATGAAAGAGATGTTCACAACAGTTTAATTTCTGTAGGTTTTGTTCATTAGTCAATCACCATTCCAATTTGATTTTGAACAAAAATTGGAACTTAAACCAAGTCTTTCCTCCAGTTTGAAAATTGTGACTTTTTTTTCCTGGATTGAATCAATTTGGCAGTCCTCTAGGCTCAGGAAAAGAAGGAACAGGTAGCCTAGATTTACTTACAAGTATCCCTAACTAGTAAGGAAATAAAAATCCAGTAGGCAGGTGTGTCTAATCTGGAAAGTTATTTTCARATGGTTCCATAAATCTTGTGGGTATGTTGAGAATTAAGTTAGAGATGCCGTTTATAAATGTGATGTGCATGACTTTTAAAGATTAAGTGAATGTATAAAAGATTTCAGCTATTTTGAAGTATTCTTTTTTTACAGAAAGCTTGCTTTCTCAGGGTCTATTTTTCTTTGGTCAAACCAATATCTGCGTAAATATATATTTTGGTAGCTTGAAAGGACATGCAAATTTTATTGACTTCACACATAAAACAATGTTTGGAATGAAGCTTTTTTTTTTTTTTTTTTTGGTTTGTTGATTACCTGTGCTTGTTTTGTCACTGTGTTTTTGCAGGTCTATGAATCTCCCAGTGCTTGTGGGGGACCTAAAACTCGTGATTAATGAACCAAGCAGGTTGCCTCTATTTGATGCCATCCGCCCACTCATCCCGTTAAAACACCAGGTGGAGTACGATCAGCTTACACCCAAACGATCACGGTAAGAGAATGCAGAATAAAAAAAAAAAAGCAGCTAACTTAAATACAAGAAGGAAATACTGAGTTTCCAGGTAAATTCAGAGTAAAATATTGTTTTTCTGTGTGGGGTTGTGTGTAGTTATTTTATTTTTGCTATATCTGCTAGAAGTACAGCTACCAGAAATTGTTTTCCAAATAGTTTAATCTAATAAAAGCAAGCCAAAGGAGTCAAAACCAATCTTTTCTCACTTTTCCTGCATTTGATAGKTAAGTTAGTTCTAACCCTCTAAAAGCAGCTTCAGTGACTGCAARTGTCTTTTCATGTGAAAAAAACTTGATGGCTTTAGTTAACATACATCCATTCCAACTTCAGTCAACTTGATTTTTTAATGSCTAAATTATATAAGAGAAGAATAATGTCTGACTTTGATATGAGACATTATTGCCACAAGGTGTTGTGCAGCTGAACGCTCAAGTGTTTTCCATTTTTGCAGAAAGCTGAAAGAGGTGAGATTGGATCGTTTAAATCCTGAGGGGCTTGGAGTRAGTGTAAGAGGTGGTGTGGAATTCGGCTGTGGCCTCTTCATCTCCCAGTTAGTTAAAGGAGGACAGGCAGACAATGCTGGGCTTCAGGTAAGGATATTATGTTCCTGGGATGCTAGGGGTAAAGGATTGTTCTTTCTAGGAGCTGCTTTTGCTAAACTACTCTTTGAAGTCTAATAAAATTCCTAAGGTATGCAAGTCAACGCCATAGTAAACATCACACCAGTGGTGAATCGAGTATTAAAACTCCATTTCACCATTTTTAATGATATACAAACCTTTCCCCTTTTGGGGATATGATAATTTTTGAAGATTACAGGTTTTTTCTGGAATGCTTATATTAAATAAGTAGCAGCATTCATATGTAAGCAGATGGAAAGGAAGATCTCTGCTCTCAAAGGGTAAGTTGCCAAGTTCTGATTAAATTCAGAACAGAGCATATAAATACTGAAAGTGTTAATTCCACCTTGCACAGATATAATTGGTCTAACAAAATGTTTACTTGAACTTCATGTATAAATTGTGGGGTTTTGGTTTATGTAATAAAAGAAAGGATGTATTTTTAACTCTTCCCAGTGTCCTCTCTGCTGTATAGAATTGCACTTTCTGTGATTAAATTTTAGATGCACAAACTTGCCAACAAGGTTGGCAAAAATAATTATGTATGGAAACACGGCAGTACTTATGCAATTTACATTAATGAAGTTTTGGATGTTTGGTTTCTTTTTGGGTGTGGCATTGCTTAGTGAAGAGAGAAGTGAGCAATTGCTGTGGGAAATGTCTACATCTTTCTATCATCTTTTGAATCTGATAAGGTATRTTAAGGGTCTGAGTTTCTGAGTGGACAGGCTAATATGCCTGGCTACTTTTAATTTGCAAGGCTGAATATTTGCTAAAATATTGATGGTGTTAAGGATTATGTTTAACGCTAACCCAAAATATATTAATGACTGGCATGATTGGTTACAGTGTTGAATTAAACTTGAATTTAACTAAATTAAAATTAACCCATTTTTGAAGATATGCTTCAGTATTGCCCTACCACTCTTTCAGATTAAAAAAACAAAAATAAATCTCTATCAACAAGGCAGTTGAAGTTAGGTTTCCGTGTTCTSTGTGCAGAACACAGTGAGAATGGGAAGTGTAGACAAGGGAGCTGKTCCTGGGATGTGGTTTGCTCAGTAGAGAGATTCCATTTGCGTCCTTCCTCCACTACTAGAARCCCGAGAAAAACTTTTATGGCTTTTGTAAACATCTCCTGGAAAATACTGGAAGGCATTAATGAGGCTGGTCAATAAAGGACTTACTGGCCACTGCCTTAAATTGCCATTCTAGCACATACATCTTAGTGCTGTGTTGTAGCTCTGTTCTCTGCTTGTTTCGGACCAACGTTTTGATGCCATCACTAGATAAGGAGTTTTGTTCAGTTCTTGTGCTCCTAGAAGGATGTCAGTTTTCCTTCTTTCTCTGCACAAAAAGGCCCTGCTGGCCTTCTGTGACTCAGGTCATCATAGTACATCTTGGTGTCAGGGACTGTAAAGGATCTTTGGGCTGAAGTGTGCGGACTATTGCAACTCAGAACATGGGACAGTAAGGGGCAAGTATGGTTGAGACTGACTGTGAGTTTGTTAGGGTTAGATTATATGAATTTATAAGGGCAGATGGTGCTTYGCAGCTCCTGTAACTGCCTGGCTTCTGTTTTTTGGTAGGTGATGTTAAAGCTGAGCCTAAAGTGCCTGAATAATAGGTGGCACTAGGCACTTTGTGAACCTCACTGAATAACAAGACCTGACAGGCAGCCCATTGTTCTAAATTGCTGTCTCACAGTRAAGCCAACTGCTTCTGAAATTTCACCCACCTGCTTTATTTAACAAAATCTCTACACATTTTCCATCCCAAAAATGCTGTCTGAGAAAGRTATAATGATTTTCCATTATGCTTTTGGTTTTACGTCCTGCTGTTTTTAAAATTTCCTGTTCATATTGCATGATTTCTTTCTCCTTGAAGTACTTTCCAGGTTATGTTAAAATGACCAATTACTCATGAAGGCTCACTGTGGAACCTGTAGTTTTGACCCTTTTTTGATAACAATTTCTCTGAAAGGCCCAGGTGTTTTGTCCTTTCATTAAGAAATGGACTCATCTCTCCCCTACACACTGGTTTTTGATACTTGTGTGTGAGGAATCTGCTGAATACAAAGAGATTGGTGTGAATGATGAAAGTAGAAGAAGTATACAAAATGGGAAATTTGAAACAGTTGATGTTATTATATGAACCCCTTCAATTTCCTAGAAGCACTAAATATTATATTTCCAATGTTAAAAGTTACAAATAATAGGCACTTTACTTGAGAAAAGTTAGGTTTGCATCTTTTTTCTAAAAAGTCTGTCATCTCTCTGTTTGATAGGGAAAGGGGAAACTGTGATATAATACCAAAATAATTGTTACTTTTCTACTCTACTCAGTTCCACAGACTTTTATCTCTACTGCTCTGATTCATTAGGTTGGTATACAGTGATACCAGTATAAAAGTAACAAAATACATGAAAACAGCTTTTAATTACCTCAATATTAGATACCTTTGTTCAGTAAAAGCTGTTCAAGTATCCTAAAGATATTAATTTGCTGTATGCCCATACACCTCCTGTAGTTCAGCCTAGATCGAGTTATTTGTTAAGCACCATCAGTCATTGTCTGTCACTAATAGAAGTGTCATTCGGTTAAGTGAAGAGTGTTGGGTTTCAGAAATTAGATGAATCTAGTAAAGAGGAGTATGAAAAATATCTGTATGGGAAAAGCTCATTCCCATCCTGGAGGGAAAAATAAAATAGGCTCTTGTGGGCATTTAAAATTTGGCAAGTGCCTCTTGGGGAAATGATAGCAGATATGAGTCAGTGAACAGGACCAGTTCTGCTGATGCAGAAGCCTCAGGATGGCGTTGTCATTTGCAGCCTTAAAACTGGGGGATTCTGAGTGTCAGGGCATTGCAGTGGATAGCAGTGTGATGGGTCACTCTTCTACAGAGCTGGGTTTGTGCACACCTGAACTCCATGGTCTGCTTGATGTGGAAGATGGGAGTACATGAGGGATCTTGAGCTAAACAAACAAAAAAAAAAAAGCCCACACCACCACCACCATCACATGTGTAAAATCAACATAAAATGGATTGAGTGGATGGATGTGGTTTGGGATCTTCGGAACAAATTAAGTGAGCACTCTTCACAGAAAGAGCTATCAGGGGTATAACTCTAAACTGCAGACCCTGTGTGCTTTTTTTCTTGTTGGATTCTATATTTTTCCCACAGGTTGTGTATTCAAAAGACTTCATTATTTCTGCTGCTATTGAAGATTATTTGAAAAAGCCTGCTGGATTAAATAAAAGCTGTCAAGCTCTTAGGAGTGCAGGCCGTTGCCCGGGGTGAGATTTTTTTGGATGTCCAGCAGAGGGAGCGGATGCCCCACCAGTCAGGGGCGAGTGACCGCAGTGTTCTGTTCTGCAGGACAGTTTTCTTTGCTCTTGTAGCCTTCTGATGCTGTGTTGTCAGTCAAAAATCTTCGGTTTCAGTGGAAAGTGTGAGACATGAGTGATGCTGGTAGAGTGGAAATATTCATGTTTTGTGTAGTAGTGCAGAGCAAGAGCCACTTCCCAGAAAAATTAGAAAAACTTGTGAAAGAAATAAAGAAGATACATTAATGGGTTTTTTTCCTTTGTTGTTTGTGTTTTTCTCTTTTTAAATTGGACAGGTAACAGTAGGGAGATTTCAATAGTCATTATTATACATCAAAAAAAGCAGAAGGTGACAGCATGGCCAATATCCTGTCACCCAAAGTGTGAGCCTTGTCTCTGTGTGTGTTAGACAGTCTTTTTTTTTTTTAAGTGTGATAATGCATTCCAGCCAAATTTTGTTGAATAAAAACAGTTGCTTTGGCTTTGCAGAAACTTGAAATCATCCTAATGCAGATGCCAGCATGGAAAACTTAAGCCTAAGGTTAAATTTGGGAGCTTGACACTCAAGTCTTTAAATGGAACTTTTTAGGCAATCATTAACCATGGGTAGTGCTGCCACGAAACCAGACACATTTGTCAGGAGGGACACAAAATTTCATCAGCTAAGAACCAAATCCCATGCTGGTGGTGTTAATGAGAAAAGTCTCATCAAATTCATTTCACATAATAAATATTCACAGTAGCTCAGAGGAGGGGCTACTGGAGAGCAGTAAAGGCTAAGTATTTGACTTTGTCCTGGTGGAGATCAAAGTACAGAGGTTTAAGGTGATATTGTTGGTGGTTTGTAAAGGTAATTTCCTGGTGATCATTTGTATATCYTACTGTTCCATCTGTGTTGCTTAATGGAAGAAATGCACTAATTTTTATACAACCACATCACATAGTTCGTGTCAAGTAAAAGTCTTTGCTTTTGATGCTCTGGCCAGGATCTGGCATTTTTCAGTAATCTTGAGCGACTAATAAGGTACAACTTAAATGAAGTGGGAAATGCCTTTATCACTGATTCCTTCTCAGCCTGCCTGGTTAAGAGGATCATTAAGAAGAGTTTGCAGAAACTTGGCAGTTTCTACTCATCATAGCATATCAAATTCTGATTTATATTAGGGGAAGAAAAACCTTTTGGTTGTATTCTGATAAATAAGATTTTAAATTTTATAGAAGCGGCTGAAAGCGCCCTGTCTGTTCTACGTCAATAAATTGAACAYTGTCAGGGAATGTTCTTGGGGTGCTGCTGTTGGATTGTTGATGAATGTTGGTGTGGTCCCCAAAGAAAGAAAAAGATGTAMAGTCCATTAAAATAATGGACTTAATCCAGAGTCAGGCAAGATAAAAAGACCAAGTTTAGTTTCCTATTGATCAAAAATAGTTAAGAGGTTATCTCAGAAAACATGGTAAAAGCAAACTTAAACTGCTGAAGTATAAAAGAAGAAAATAACTCCAAAATTATTTGGATTAAAACACAGACTCTTGTACTTAAGGTAACCCATGGAGTAAAAATCTGATAGGACTAGGTAGTATTCATAAAATTGTAATTTGGACATTAATCTGGCCTTTTGATGTTAAATGTTCAAAACAAATACAGGTAAGTCTGATCTGGGCATTACCTGAAATTCAGCAAGTATTTGTGAATCAATATTATTATCCTTTGCATCAAATGGCTTCCAGATTGTATCCAAACTTAAAAACTGTTTAAAATGTGAACTCACAATTATTTTTTCTTCTCCCTTGCATTTGTGAGGTTGGAGATGAGATMGTGCGCATAAATGGATATTCAATTTCATCGTGCACACACGAAGAAGTCATAAACCTCATCCGTACCAAGAAAGTCGTGTCTGTAAAAGTAAGACGTAAGTAACACGCACAGAAAAAAATCACCTCTCTCACCGAAAATTGCCATTAATAGATTGCTGGTGGTCTGTAGAAACTTAACAAAATATTTTTCTTTTTCAGATGTTGGCATGATACCTGTCAAAAGGTAATGGCTTTTCATTTGAAAACAGATTAGATTGTTGATTTTCAAACAGCTTTTTCTATCCAAAGAATCTGTGTTTAATTATGAAAGTGTGTGAATGCTGATTAAAATGTCACATCCTTTGTGATGAACAGGCAGATGTCTTGTTTGATGAATTTGATTTTATACCAGTTAAATGAAGCAATTTCTAGTTCCTTACTTGTCAAGGACATCTCCTGAAAATTTAATTATTAATGCACCTAGTTTGATGGAGCGCTCCACTGTTTCTCTGTGTATGTAGCATTTGCTGATGGCTCCAGAGTTTAGAAAAATGTTAAATTAATTTTCTCTTCCAAGTTTTGTTGAGAAGCTGTATCTTTAAGTGGAATATTAAGAGAAATAYTAATGACAGGAGRTGTTGCTCTGCRCAGGCATTTGTGTAAGAAGTTGGAGTGGTTATGGGTAGTTTCAGAGTCTTTCTCAAAGTCTCCTAAAATTATTTCACTTGAGAGAGTTTTATCAATTTTGTGTTTGATCAGCTTTAGTAGCCCAAGTAATTGTATGCTGGATTGATGTTCTGTTGTGGTGTGAATGGGATCCAAAGAAAGTTGCAGATGCAGAATAGAAGGCTGCATTCCAAAGTAGCTTCTGGAATATGCTGACATTTGTTTTGTCCATTGTTTTAAATAATTTTTCCTTTCAGTTCAGCAGATGAACCCCTTAAATGGCAATATGTGGATCAGTTTGTGTCAGACTCAGGGGTAAGAGATCAGTGTTTTGTGAAATGTCTTCTGGGGAAATSGTAATGGTTCTGAAACACTTTCTCCTCTGGCCTTATCAGAGAAGCTATTGTATGCAGTACTATAATGAAATATCTTGTTGGAAATAGTCTGTGAGAAACATCTTTTGTGATWTGAAATGGTTCTAGAGCTATTAGGTAGGGAAAGGGCAGGATGCAAATGAAATAGCTTTTAMTCATTAATTGATACTTGATTTTGCCTGAGCTTATTAACTTCCCAGACTGTATTTCTGCTGCATAAATATTTGTCAGATTATTTGACCAATTTTAGGTGTATTAGTGGAGGAATTACAACTTTGAATGCAAGTGACTAAGAGTTGCAGAAGTGAATAGAAATACTGCAATTACTTGTACTTTCTTTCAGGAAGAAATATTTAGTTAAATAGTGAGCCTTATCATGTATTTCTCCAGCCCTTTTGTCAGGGAACATCTAAATGATTATTTTGCCATATCACTTTCTTCTAATTTTCCTTCACCCTTTTCTCAAGACAAATTTTGACTAYTTAAGTAATCTTCTCCAAATAGATAAGTTCAGTCTTTCACCTCAGCCATGCAGCTCCACTGAAATTGCTCTACTTTACATTCATTTCCAGCAGAATAGAACCTTGGAGTCTTGAATAGAACCTTGGATCTTATCTTCTTGCTGTTTGGGATTCATGTTAGCTGCATGAAATTTTATAGTAGTCTTGATATGAATTCAAGACAGAATTAGCATCTGCCACATTGTTTAATCCCTCTGCAGGAAGGAAAGGGCAGCATTGCTGGGCTTGCTTCTTCTGGAGGGAGAGACAATAAAGAGAAGAAAGTCTTCATTAGCTTGATTGGTACAAAGGGCATGGGATGCAGGTGGGTACATGGTTTTTATTTCATATCACTGCTTTGTGAAGGGAGACAWTCAAGGCAGTCATTTCCATCCTTCCTGGAGATGATATCAGGAAAATAAAGATCAATGCTGGATCAGGAAAGTGAACGGCAACAACAGGGTACCTGTGGCACATGGTAGATATTTTTAGGCAAAGCATAACTTTCAACCTCTGTTGAAAGTTCTGTCATAAAGTGAAAAAAAAAAAGATTTAAAAATAAGAGCATGACAAGTTGTCATGGAATTGCATCTTTTAAATGCTTTTATGTTTCTGAATATTTAAAATTGCTGCTTGGTGATGTTAGCAAATTCCATCACTATGCACTGTCAGGTTCATTCCCTGCACTTAGACTGCTTTCTCTGACCCTTTTTAAAGCTAAGATAGTATCACAAAGCTCTATCCAGTTCCTAAAATTAATGTTGAATTTGCAGGAGATTTTAGGAATATGATTTTGGGATCCTCGGACCCCTGTCTTTTGCAATAATTGTGGAGGTTTTGGAGTAGAAGGGATATGGTAGGATTTCTTAGATATTTAGAAACTAGAACTGGTTTTGTGATATGAAGAATAAAAAAATAGGATGACAAACCATTATGTGTTCTGGCAAGTTTTGGTGTTAGTTTTGGAGTAGGCTAATACCAGAAATATTCTTTAATAAAAAAAAAAGTTACTAAAACTACTCACTGTGTAAATTGTACTATTCCATAAATATTATTCTATAAGTACTATCCTGTTAATGTTTGGGTTTTTTTACATTACCAGTATTTCCAGTGGTCCAACACAAAAACCGGGCATTTTTATCAGCAACGTTAAGCCAGGCTCTCTTTCAGCAGAGGTGGGCTTAGAGGTAAGTTTGCCATCTTCCAAGGTAGGTGTCATAAAGAACTCTTGTTTTATCTTCACAGCTTCAAGGATTCTGTAAAATTCTTGAATGTAAAATTACCTGTGTGGTGTTTATTGTTTGGTGGGGTTTTTTTTCCCCATGGGAAAGAAATACCTTGTGGTTATATTTCAAACGAACTTAGTTTCTTAAAATTTAAAAAATGTGAGTGGCCTGGGTCAGACCAGTATTCCTTCAAGCTCAGGATTTGATCCCAAGCAATGGTAATAGAAAATGCCAGTGCAGGAGAATGTGCAAGCTGGACCAGTTTCCAGTCTGCTTCCCTTGTGCTCTGCCAGTACCCATGGTTGTTGTATAAAGGGTGTTAGAGAGCACATCTTTTTCTATTTTCATTTAATACAAGTTCTAATTTAGCATCTGTACTAAAATTTATATGAATTTCTTTAGGTTGGTGATCAGATTGTTGAGGTGAATGGAGTGGATTTCTCTAATGTGGATCATAAAGAGGTACAATCAAGTCTTCTTAATCCTCTGAATTTGTAGTTGTCAGTTTATTAAACAGCTGTACTATTTTCCTGTCCACAAAAAGCATGTTTTGATACTGGGATACTAACTTAAGGGGTTGTGTATTGAACATGGGAATTTGGAGATTTGCCTACGTACCTCCCTATTTAGTTCTGGAGATTCCAGCCATGACAACCAGCATTTTTCATCCAATATCTACTGGCCTTTTATCACTTCATTCACAGTAATTTTTGATTTGTTTTAATTTGCAGGCTGTCAGAGTGCTCAAGAGCAGTCGTACTTTGACTATCTCTGTGGTAGCAGGCGCTGTAAGTGATACATTTGTAAWAGCAGAACATTTGTGAAAATTACTATGTGGGTAAATAAATGAATAAAAATAAAAGCTGTGTTTCTTTATATGATCTATAACTCTGTCAGGCCAGGACATTTTTGAGTGGCTTTTGATTATTTCATACTAACAAAATTTCTCAAATAAAACATGACTGTGGGCCAATGCAAAACTGTTCCCTTGACAAGGATGGAAATTAACTTTATTGTAATGATCTCTCATGCTTGAGAGTTTCTGTTCTAAGAGGTGTCTGCATCTGCTGAAACATGAAAGGTAAATTGGATTGGAGACAAATAATTTTTAATCCYGAATAGCTGATGTCTCTGTCTTGTTCAAAATTAGTTCCTTTTGTAATTGTTTATCTGATCTCATTAGTGTATTGACACGCTGAAAATTGCTCCATTTTTCATTTCCACTGTTCTGTGCAACAGAACTATAAGCCTTTGGGGCCAAATCTAAAGCCAGCTGAAATTAATTAAACCTGCCCTCTGACTTCAGTGTGGCTTTTAATAAATGTTTCAGTGTTTTTACTGCTTTAATCCTTCTTAGAGCGAAGTRTGTAGTTGTATACAAGAGGATAATCAAGTTCCATAGACTAATCAAATAGTGTGTTTTCTAATTGCCTTGCAACTGAATCAAATAGGGAAAAAAAGATTTAATAATTCACTTCAGCTACCTCCTAAGGGCTTACATACTGTGTAGCTACATTAAGGTGTTAAGGGTTTATTTGATCTACTCCTGCAGTAACAAACGATGCAGTTGTCCAAAGGTGMTGTAGACATTGTTTAAACAAATGTTCTGGGCTAGTTGATTAAGCTCCAGGAATTCAGCGTCCCAAGGACTTAGTTTCAACTCCCAGTTATGTTAACAACTGTTAAAAATATGAGATCTACCTCAGCATGCATCACTGGGGTGGTATCCTTAAAATGGCAAAATGTTGCTATGGAACTCTTCTGTTCCTCACTCCTTCACCTTGTGTGTCTCTCCTCAATAGACATMTTTGTGATGGAGAACTGAGAGCAAAAGGAAAGTTTCCCTACCATGGTGCCAAGGCATTCCTCAGTGCCTGRTTTTGTTCAAGCTGTCTTTGCGCTTTAGAGACAGGAAAAATCCTTCCTTCCTGATTAACGTGGGATTTTAATTTCAGAAACAARTAGATAAATGTTGTCAGAGTTGTTCTACATATAGCACTATGGCAATATCTTTCTTGAATAGAAAATAGTGCTAGTGTCTAAATTGTAAAGCAAATGAAACAGGAACAAAACCAACTGAAGTACATCAACTATACAGTGTTTTGGGCATGTAAATACATGCATTTGGGTTCCCTGAATGATGACACTTTTCTGCAGCAACCAGCACAAGAGCATTAAAACACAGTAACTGTAGTTGCCTTCACATTGGGAATCATTCAGTGTTCTGTTCTCTGGCATTTCGTTGTTCATTGAGATGTCAACAAAGTCTCATGTCAAGTTTTTTCTGGGTGACACAGTGAGTGTGTATTTGGYATGACCTCCACAGTGTTGTTGCTGACTTTAGTAGCTGCAATCCTCTTCTGAGGTGTTAGGCACATAATTACTTGGAGGCTGAAACAAGAATAGGTCCTTGRAGTGAGTATCAGATATTTGAGGATCTTTTGGGTGGTATTCCTCAGGAAAGGTGATGTGAGGAAATTACAGATGTGCATGTATTAGGGTTTTAATTATTTCCYAGAAGAGCTGCATTCCTGACATTTTCTYACAACTGACCGATGTGGTGGTTTTKCCCTCAGGGAAAGGAGCTGTTCATGACCGAAGAAGAAAGGCAGCGAGAAGCGCGCCTCCGTGAGCTGGAACGCCAGGAGTTAATGCATCAGAAGCGTCTGGCACTGGAAACCAACAAAATCATCAAAGAGCAGCAAGAGAARGAGAGATTGTGAGAACTCTCTATATAGGACAGTCTGGAAAATTTAGCTTGGATTTGGAGAGGGCACAGAAGACAGGAGCATATAATTATTTCTGTAGTGCTTCTCACAGAAGTGAGAAGATTCTCAACTTAGATTTAACTTTKTTTTGCTGTTGAGAGTCCCTRTTCATAAAATGTTTGTCCTGTGATGCTCTTGATATCAGCTCTTCAGAGCTGATACCATGCAAAGCCATCCTGAGTAGAAGGGTGTCTGTGTTCCCCAGAGCCATACCTCAGTGATTAAGTCTGATATTAGTTATCTTTCTGATGATTTGCACTCATGCTTTATTTCTAGCAAGACAGAAATTTTGTACCAGCCACATACTATGGAGYTGTCCCAGTCAGAGGCAGTAACTTAAGGAGTTAAGTAGATGGTATCCCCTTATGATCCAGATGGTCARCAATGTCCTCAGGGTTCYTGTGAAATTATACTGAACCCTTGGTATCTTAAAGATTTCTTTTAAAAAGGAGCATTTTGCCTCAATTCATGCATATTTACTGTCTGTATCTTTTACTAACTATACGCTGACACAATTTGTTSAGGTTCTTAGTCAGAAAATACTATTTTTATCATGGTGTCCTAATTCATCTTMTTATAGAAGAAAGCTGGAGATTTCCCAGAAGGCTGCAGAGGAAGAAGAGAGATACCGCAGAGAAATAGAGCAGTGAGTAAAAACYTTGCATAGGCAATGTGTCACCTGGAAAAGGGTTCTTGTGTAGTAGATCTGGCTGAAAACATCCCGCAGGTTCTTTTTTTTWAAATAAAATTGTGTYGTATTCCCATTTAGGTAAAAGTAGGATCCAATATATATCATTAAGTACACCACAGTTACAGAATAGGGAACTGATCTGAAATCAGCACCTGGAAAACRTGAGGCTTGTGGCAGTAATAAATTCAATGTGAGGTTGAAGTTGAGCACTTATTTTCAAAACATATTATTAATATATACACAAATTTATGATTAAGGGAGAGCTTGTTTACTCAGTTGTCACTGAAACACTACATTTCATTCTAACAGAAAAAATTAGTACTGTTAAGAAACAGATCAGTGCTGTATTTGTAACTTAAGCATCTTTTACATTTGTAAGTTTGAAATTAACCAGTATTATATATTGTTGTTATCACAGTAATTAACTTCCCTTCTAAATGATGCTGGAAATTGCATAGAAATGCAAGTTGAACAATAATACCTGTTTTGGTTCAGCTCTTTAGAGCTAAGATTGGTCCTCAAGTCTTCAATTTTGCCCCTTTGATACATTAAGGGGGTTTTAATTCATTTAATTAATTTAAGTCCTGTTTTATGTACCTGTATTAGTTAAGATTTTCTGATAGAAAAAGCATAGGGATTCCTGGATTTGGAAGGTGCAAAAAGAAATATATTCCTCAGCTGTCAYGGAGAGAAAAATCTTCAGACAATTCTTCTGTGGGGCTCTACTGCAGCACATGGATGAMTTCTTACGCATTTCCCTTTTCTAATCTTGGGGGATTGATAACATCCTGTTCTTTATTGTGGCCTTCACAGAAATTCCTGCAATAGCCAAAAGCTGCTATAAAAGCAGGCTATCACAGGTGAAGGATGGTTCTGTTCTCCAGGTTTAGATTGCCTGTCTGTTATAATGGATATTGGATGTCTGCCGTGTTCTCCTTCTGAGCTAAGAGCATCTTTATTCACGCAGGGAGGGCTTTCATTCCTTGAGGGCTGCTCAGTGTAAGGTCTAGCACAGCTTTATACTTTCTTGTATAATTTTCAAGTGTTTCAGGCACTTCTCAGCTTTTCCATATCATAATCCAAATTGTTAAGSCAGTGTCAGTCTCCTGGGGGGGAGGAGGGGGAATGGTCATAGAGGAACCAAGATGAAATCTAAAGCTGAGAATTGAATGGGCAGTTGTGGCACGCTAAATTGCAATGTTTTTCTGTATTAATGGTTTGTGAGGATCATGCCTTGCTTTGTTTTAAGATCCTTTCTGCAGGAATTCTTTGTATAAAGTCACTCTGCTCTATTTTAGTATCTTACATTTGAAAACATTTCAAATGTGCCTAAATGGCAGAGGTCCCTAATTCTAGGTACTTCAAGTCACATTGTGACACCAGCTTATTAAAATTAAATGTAAAAATATTTTGTCCATTGTTCCCTGACAATGCCTCTAAATTTAAATTGTGAGCTCAGCTACAGATTTAAGAGTGTTTTGACTCCATGTGAGTATTTTTTTTAATTTATTTAAGTTAATTGAGAGATGCGAAAGATAATCCAAGTATAAATAGCATCATAGACATCTAAGACCTGGTAAATTTTGGCAATACACAATCAATTCAAGGCCAGCTATAGTCAAGAATAGATTTCAGATCACATAATACAACATATATGAARCTACAAGTTGTTAGGTTATTCAGCACTTCTGTTGTGACTTACTTGGTTTTTGCCAATTTTTGGGTTGAAATGTCCTTTTTTTTCTCATAATGGTGCGATTCTAGGTGCCTTCTTGGTAATTTCCTTGCTGTTTTCCTGAAGTGTGACACTCTCTGCACCACACCCATCCTCTATCTCTACTTATCTAAGCCTCTGTCTCATCTGAATTTTTTTTTTCCCTAGAATAAGGAATTTAATGTAGTTTGTGTTTCAACAGTATTCAATTCTTTTTGGGAAGAGTCCCTTTTTAGTGCAACCTACAACTATGTGTTTAGGCAGCAATTATCAAAATAGGTGTAAGATGTAGAAAGACACAATTTTTAGATATAATTTACCATTGTGACATCTGATTGAGACATATGGTAGATGTTCTGTCACTCAGTGTTTTAGTTAAAACTGGCAGCTTTTTTAATAAGTAGTTCCAGTTCTAAAAATGAAATACKACTGAGTGAGAGATGTTTTTTACTGCAATGAAGGTGACAGTACTGTAGTGTGTCACTCCTGGCTTAGTATCTGTGCAGGTGTTTATATATCTGGCCTTAGAAGTCACAATAGTAAATGAGAATATCTTACTCAGTTACACTCTGTTTTGCAAATTATCTTAGTAGCTTTGTAAATTAAACACATTGCTGAAAGGAATTTGGTTATGAGGACAGAGCAGCTTATTATGCTTTAATATAAAGGGAAAAAACAAACATGCTGAATACTAAATCATGGTAATAAATATATACTGATGCTGTTGGTTTTGTATTCAGAATATCTRACTGCATTTGTTTCCTTTAGGATAACAGCAGAGGAAGAGAAATTTAAAAAGGAGTGGGAAGAAGACTGGGGTCCCAAAGAACCACCCAAGTCTCTAAAAACTGTAACTGCAGAAGTGCACTCCTCCCCTCGTTCCAAACACAAAAGTAAGTAATTGATTTCAGCTTGCCTCTCTGCATTTGTGTCAGACACATCACTGAGCCGTATGGAATGTATCGCCAGTTTGTGTCCATCCAAGCTAGTGATGATTTGGGTTTTTTCACAAGGATGGAAGCATATGATACATTAATAACCTATTTAATAGGTACCTATCTTGCAAAATCTACCCACTCAAATAGTCATGGTTTTTAACAATCAACAGCAGCAGGAAAAAGAAAAAGAAYAAAGCTCACTGAGAAATGGTCTGAAGCATCAGCGTCTTTAGCCTGGGGTGAAAAATAAACATTTTTCCCACATTTTTTCTGTTCAGTGTTTGCTTGTCAACCTTTTCACAGTTTGGGTTGGAAGGGATCTTAAAGATCACCTTGTTCCACCCCCTGGCATGGTCAGGAACATTTTCMACTGGACCAAGTTGCTCAGAATGCTTGAACACTGTCAGGAATGGGACATCTGCCACCTACCTTGGGCAACCTGTAGAAAAGAAACTTGTGCCTCACAGAAAAGAACTTGCTAATATCTAATCTAAATCTATCCTCTTTCAGTTTAAAGCCATTTCCACCTGACCTATCACCACATGCCCTTTTAAAAAATCACTTTTCAGATTTCTGGTAGCCCCTTTTAGGTACTGAAACACTGATCTAAGGTCCCCCCACAGCTTCCTCTTCTCCAGGCTAAACAGCCCCAGCTCCCTGAGCCTTTCCTCACAGGAGAGGTGCTCCAGCCCTCTGATCATCTTCATGGCCCTCTGCTGGACCCATCCAACAGGTCCACATCCATCTTACAGTGAGGGCCCTAAAGTTGGATGCAGCACTGCAGGTGGGGTCTCATGGAAGCAGAGCAGAGGGGCACAATCCCCTCCCTTGCCCTGCTGCCCAAGGTGCTCTTGGTACAGCCCAGAATGCTGTTGGCTTTCTGACCTTCTTGTCTGGAGGGAACTAAGACAGCTGGAGCTTAGTTGGCTGTTAAGAAGCTAAATTGAAAGCTGCAAATTGTATGTGTACTAAAACTGTATTGTTTAAAGAAAAAAGTGGAAAGTGCTTGTTGCATAATTTATAAGAGACCTGGGCCAATTCATAACCCCATGTTATTTTAATTTATTGTGACTGTGTGTGACATTGGGGAAGTCTGCTSATGGCTCTGTGACAGGAAAAGCCACCGAACTACAGGCTTCTCTTCATCACAGAGCAGACTAATTGTCCACATGCAGATTCTAACTGCTCTTCAGGACTGGAGGAGGTTGGAGATTKATTTAARMARAGSCTYTKYTTAAATMATTTTGTAGAAAAACATCCCATTACTACCCACTCTTTCTTTTATTTCATGGAAAYTTCTAGTCCCACATTGCTGATCTCTTTTTCATTTCATGGGAACCTCCATTTGAACTGTCACTTCTATCTCCTCACTCCTTTCCTCCTTTGTTTCTCTAGAAGATTTAAAGGGAGTTGCACATGACCAACTTGAAACAGATGACATGGATGAAGTGAACGTGAAGCAGGACAAACAGGTTTGCCACTCAGCCCTAACTTCCTATCCTGATTCCGATTCTTCTTGTGTCTCGCCTCCTCCTGACAGTCAGTCTTGACACTGAGCTGACCATTTGGTTTCCTGAGGCAATGTGCCTGGTCCTTTGGTAAATTATGGAAGGTTTTGACACTGCTGCTGTTATCGCMTTCTAAAGATACCTTGATATGAAATCTAACCACCCTGCAGAAATGTGGACTATATTGAGTGCTTTTTGTTAGTAGTTTCTTATATAAAGTTATGGTAATATATTCTTTTGTATGTTTTCACTTAGCAATGTATTTTGTAGTATTTATGCACTTGGCTTGAAATACTTTGTCCTGGGAAACGGAGCTTTTCATGTCTCCTCAAAACCCAGTGTTCTGGTAAAGGCTTGAATGAGTTTGGATATCTGTTTAATTTTCATAGGGCTTGCTAAAACTAGTGTAAAGTAGGACTGTGACCATCAGAATCTGAGCAATGTGTGGTCTGTATGAAGATTTTGTTGCATTTGCTTTGTTTGACATAAAATGTGTGTCAATAAAATAAGGGAAACCTATGACTGAGTGYACTAGAACAATTTATCAAGAATTTGACTAAGAACTTGTCAATTAAGATCAAACCTTCAGTGTTGCGCCTTCAAATAAATTTTGATCATTACATCAGCATGGATTGATCTGAGTACAAGCCAGTCCTTGGCTTTTTTTCAAAAAACAACTTTTCCTTTGCCTTTTGTAGCTTTTGGATGGTTTTATCGGTATGATGGMAAATTTCCCACAATCCGTAAGGTACAAAGTTTGAAATGTGAATTTGTTTGCTSTGTGTGTGTTTGTATTGGTATTCTTCATTTTTCTTATTCTGTGTTATTAGCAAATRTTCCTTATAGCCAAGTGCTCCTACTTTTAACGTGTGCACAAATTGAGATGCATTTGGGATGCATGTGTAGGATTTTGTCCTTTTGAGTCCTTCAAGCTCTTGAGTTCTGCCAGCTGCAGAGGTAATTGTATGTCAGAAGGTTTTTCTTACAGGTGGGCAGTGCTTGTCCTGTTCTCCAAAAATCCTCAATCATGTGGATGTAAAAACAGTACAGAGACAAAAACCAGTTACACCTTTGCACATCTTCCTGTAGGAAGAGAAAGCAAAAGGCTGAAGGCAAAAGGCTTTTTAGGAATGTGTATATGAACAACAAAAAAAAAAAATTAACTATCTTTAAGCTGATAGAATACTTTTAAGTCTGTAGAGATGCTGCTGAAGTGTTGCAATTTGAATTTACAAGAGTTTCAAATACTGTTTTGTACTTGCTATTACTTCCTTCTCTTAATTTCTTGCAGTGTATATTAGCCATATTTTAAAGGGGTTGCTATTGTTTTTTTGTGCTTTAGTGGTAGTTTTCTTGGTAACTAACTGGCAAAAGTATTAGGAAGACTGTGTGGGTAATCTTCTGAGGACTCAGGGTTTCAGAGGAGGTCAGGGTTGTATCTSACAGATCAAGTGTTTTTGTCACTGTTTAGGAATATTATTTTAACTTTCTGTGTGCCCAGCTTATGCCTGTTCCATTTAAAAGAGCTTGGGAGAATATAGTGTGTTCCAATACCTTTTTGTATTGCTAGTGACTGTAAATCATCATGGGTCTGTAATCTGTGTGAAAGCCAGGGCAGTTAAGATTTTTGTTTGAAAAAAAACTGGAAACTCTTCACACAAAGCGATATTCTTTTGTATTGCTGCTGAGAAATATAGTTTAGAGACTGTCCAAATACCTTTCYATATAATAATGAAGATCTTACACARTTCCTGTTGAACTTTACCACAGACTGTGCACTAGAAGTTTGAAAAGTTACGTTTTAAATCATTTGCTTTTAGAAATATTTTTAAATCTGGCAGTCATGAATTTTCATCCTACTGCTTATTGCAAATGATTTTTTTGTTTATTTTAAAAACAAAATTTTGCTCTGTACTAAAAATGTCTGTAATAGGAAGTAAACTGAATCCATGGGGAAAATTGTAGGAAAGGATGAATCATMCTGTTGTATCTGAATGCAGTGAATGAAGTTAAGATTGTCAGATATATGTTCCTGTTCTGGAAGACTTTGGCTTGTGAATTGCTTACTGTGCCTTTGAATTCAGTAATTCTTCACATATTGGTACCTAGCAGGTTGACCTGCCTGATACTGCATTTAGTAGACAGTACTAAATTTACCTTCTAATTTTTTTGAGGATAATGCTGGCAATTGTTTTTAAGGTAAAAATTAATTGTCCCTGAGTAAAATAGGCCACAGAATTAGGTTTATGTTAAAACATTAGTGTGAAGAGCTAGATTTTTTTTTTTTTTTAGTTAAGCTTTATCTCCAATGTTTTGGGGGTTTCTTTTCCCCCTGCTCTCCTCCCTACAGCACCACCACCATGAAACCATGAAACAATAGACAATATCCCACAGAACTCAGCAAAACAAAGTTCCAGTTAACTTCTTGACTGGGAGAATTGGCTTTTGTAGCTGTCAGGGAAAATGTTTGTTTTCCAAGGCTTTGTTATCAATATTAATGTGCAAAAGGTRATAGGAAGACAAATAATGCTATTTATTGTGAAGCAGTTCATGGTGGTTTGGGGAATTCAAAGCATGAAAAGTCAATAACTGATGAGCAGAGCAAAATCAACCTGATGCGCAGCCTTTCTGGCAGGGGCACTAATTGAAAATAAGTGGCCACCTGCTCCTCTGTTTTACTTTYTCATAAATARAAGGAGAACATGGGATTTCCAATATGAACTAAGTTTCTACCTGTASAAATGTGAAAGGGTAACAGAAATGTGACATGATTAAAGTAGAAATAAGGAGCAGTGTGTGTTTTGAAGACGACGGGAGCAGAAGCTTCCAAAAGGCTGTGTATCATTTCCCTTTGGTTGTACTCTACATGTAAAATTTTAGAGTCATTTTGTGCTGTATTATTTAACTCATCTGAGTAGGTTTTATCCAGTGCTTGTAAGAGCTACATGGTCTTTGTGATGCAGTGTTCATTCTTGGAAACAATTTAGTTTCTGCACTGATCTAAGCCTTTCTTGTATAATTCCTTATTTCAGGTTTATTAGGGGATGCAGTGCTGGTTTTAGGACATATGCATGAAGCTTTGTATGCATGGACTGTTCACATCTGCTGATACATGAGCATCTGTCACCTGAAAGCAATCAGTCTGTCTTACATATAAATGCCAAAAATGGCAAATCAATGCCCAACCAAAGCTGTTTGAATATTAAAGCTTTTGTAGTGGGTCTATGTGCCCTAAAGTTTTAACTTTACAGAGGAACAAAAAAATTGAATTCTCTGATCTCRTCCAACTCATGTTAATGAGCACAAGCCCTCCAAAAAGTTTGAATTTCCTGCTATTTGCTGGTTAAATGGATTTTGGATTTTCTTTTAAAAGGCCGTCCCCATGTTTGCAGAGACTGCAATTAAATTTTCWAGGCAGGCACTCATGTACCAAGATTAAAGTTTGTGATGTTTTTAGCTGAAGTAAAAATTTTTGTTAAAAAACCTTCCCAGAAAGGGAAAGAAGGAAAGAAGTCAAAAAGTGATAGTTTTAGTGAACAGAAGAAGAACAAAAAGGAAATGGAGTTTGAGCAAAAACTTGCCAAAGAGAAGGAGGGAATGCTGGAGAGAGAAAAACARCTGAAAATAAATCGTCTTGTGCAAGAGGTATGTTATGATCTATCAAGTGCAAAACTACATTGAAAGAAAATGAGATGGATTKTTAGTGGAATTATTTTGGCAGGACGCTTGTTTAATTATGTCAAAGATAATGAAATTTTAAAAGCTGTTTAATTGCAAACCTGTTTTCCCCTATTTGCTTGCTTTTAGTCAGCTTTTGCCCAAATGAGGATAGCTCTGCAGTTAATGAGTGCCCATGTGTAGTGACGAATTTAATCAMAGACAGCAAAATAGAAAATTCTTTTCAAAATAATGATTATTTTTAAAACTATATTAAATAGTGTTTCATAGTATTGAAACATATTTGTATTGTGACCATACCTATAACCTGTTCTCATGAACCAATGTTATGATCAAGGTATCTGAGACAGAACGAGAAGACCTGGAAGAATCAGAAAAGGTGCAGCACTGGGTGGAAAGACTCTGTCAAACCCGGTTAGAACAGATTTCCTCTGTGGAGAATGAGTCTCCTGAGGTAAAATTCTGGCTTTTCCGTATATTGCATGATTTCTAAATAACTGAAAGTTGTTTCCTAACAGCAATGGGTTTCACCAGTGAAAAAATCTTTGTCTTTCCCTCTCAGCCTTCTTTCTAAGAGGAGGGGGAATAAGTCAGTAATTGATGACTTATAATCTCTAGAACTTGTTGTTCCTTTAAAATTATGTTTAAATCTTCATACMATAATGAGCTGATTGTATTTTGTCCTTTTTAAGTGTATTATCACCACAAAATTAACAGTTTTATTGTCTCATGAAACCTTTAGGCTARGTGGGACATACTACCAATAACAATAGCTAGATCCAGCTATATTTATTAATATCCTATGAATATAGGTATATTGTTGATGATGAGCTCTTGGAAGCTTCCTTGTATTGCATGAAATAAAGGTACAGGTTAAGGAAATCACAAAAAATACATGAAACTCACAAGGAATAGGGTTTGAGTTTGTGCTTTAAGTAGTCCTCTTTAATTAGGGGAGCAGCAGATAGTGATTGTTCCTTGGAGCCTGATGGTTCTAGATGTGGGCAGAGGCTTTCCCACCATTCAGCTCCTCTGGCTGTCTTCCAAGGAAAGCCACTTTCCAGAGGAACACTGGAGTCTGCGAAGCTCCCATGGGATCCCCGAGAAACTGCAACCACTAAAGGGACCTTGGGGAACATTTTCACATGATTTCCTTTCAGGTCAGTGTGRAGCAGCTCTGAAAAAAGCAGCTGATCCTCTGTTCCTCATGGCCCTAGGCTCAGATCCTTTTCAGTAAAGGTCTTTAGGACGGTGGCATGATTATGCAGTTTTCTCTCTATATCCAA